GGGAGGGAGGGAGGAAAGGAAGGAAATGGGAGGAAGGAAAGGGAGGAAGGAAATGGGAGGGAGGAAAGGAAGGAAATAGGAGGAAGGAAGGAGGAAGGAAGAGAAGGAAGGAAGGAAATGGGAGGAAGGAAATGGGAGGGAGGAAAGGAAGGAAATGGGAGGGAGGAAAGGAAGGAAATGGGAGGGAGGAAAGGAAGGAAATGGGAGGGAGGAAAGGAAGGAAGAGAAGGAAGGAAGGAAATGGGAGGAAGGAAGGAGGGAGCAAGAAAAGGAAGGAAGGAAATGGGAGCTGGATGGGAGGTTGCAACAGCCTTTATACACACAGGCACCCAGCGTGCCTGCCAGCTCTTGACTTATGACCACAAGCGAGCCCCAGATTCATGTTGCTAAGCGAGACACTTCATAAGGGAGTTTTGCCCCATTTTGCAACCTTGCTGCCCACATTTGTTAAGCGAATGACTGCCGTCATTAAAGTAGTGACACGGTCGTTAAGTGAAGCTGGCTTCCCCATGGGCTTGGCTTGGCAGATGGTCGCAAAAGGGGATCAGGTGACACCCCCCCTTCCCCCGGGAAGCTGCGCCTGTCATAAATACGAGTCAGTTGTCAAGCGGCTGAATATTTGATCACGTGACCACGGGGAAAGCTGCAGCGATCGTAAGGGTGAAAAACGGTCATCAGTCCCTGTTTTCAGTGCCAGCGTAGCTTGGGACGGTCATTAAACGAACCATTGTGAGTCAAGGACTACCTGTACGCCCTTCGTATCCCTCCAAGGAGCTGAAGGTCCCTTTCAAAAAAAAAAAAAAAAACACAGAAGTTTTGAGAAAAAAAAAATCCAGATTTTATTTTGCAGCTTGGAATATTTTCGAGAAAGGAACCATGGGGGGTCCTTTATAAGCCAGGAAAGTCGGTCCTGGACAAGGAGGGTCAAAGGGCTGCCTCCAAGGAAGACCCCAAGAGCTCTGGCTGAGGGAGACCCCTCCGTCCTCCCCCGGAGGCCCGGCCAGGATCCGAACCCACGTCCCAGGCCTTCCACAGGGGCCCCACTGAACACTGACAGAGCCAGCTGCTTCTATACAGAGAATGAGCAAAAGCCCCTTCCTTCCAGCTCTGATGATGTTCCCTAGCTTGGTCATGAAAGGTCTGCAAGAAAACCACCCACCTCAAAGAGCACTATGGACCCCACAGTCCTCTTCCTCCTCCTCCACTCTCTCCTACACTGATGATGTTACTTAGTTGGGTCATGAAAGGTCTGCAAGAAAACCACCAAGCTTAGAGAGCTCCAAGGACCCCCACGGTCCTCCTTCTCCTCCTCCTCCACACTCTTCTAGCACTGATGTTCCCTAGTTGGGTCGTGAAACGTCTGCAAGGAAATCCTCAAGCTCAGAGAGCACCAAGGACCCCAGAGTCCTCCTCCTCCTCTTCCTCTCCACAAACTCCACACTCTTCTAGCACGGAGGCTGTTACCTAGCTGGCCCGTGAAACGTCTGCAAGAAAACCATCCCGCTCCGACAGAACCAAGGACCCCCAACTCCTTCCCCTTCCCTTTGGCCTGCTGAACGGGCCTGTTTCTTGGAGCCCTTGGGCTGCCAGCCCCTCTCCTCCCTGCCCGATGGGAGGAGGGGGCCAGGGGACCGAAGGGACCCCAGCCGTCCGGCCTCTGTCTGGCCCCTCTGGCTTCCATCCCCATCCGCACCCCTTTCCCGTCTCTTCCCAAACTCTCCCAATCGTCCATCCGCTTTGAGGTAGTTAGCCCTGGACCCCAACTCGCCCCCCCCCCCCCCCCCCGGTGAGGAAAAGCAACATCGAAGGAAGAGGTGGGGGTCAGGAATTAGCCCTATCCTCCCCTCCGGGGGGCAACTCGGTGAGGTGTCTTCCCTCCTCCTCTTTCCCCCCATCCCTGACGCATCTCCTGCGCCCGAGTTGTCCGTTCTCCCATCCTTGGACCCGCTCCCCTCTGATCCCAGCACCGGCTGCCTTCAGGCCTCTCCCTCTCCCTCTCTCTCTCTGCCAGCTGGAAGGAGAGCGGGAGAACCTCTTGGGGGCCTCCAGAACCGCCCAAGGCTGGCATCAGAGGAAGGACTCCGAGCTGCTCCTCCACGGCGGGGCTGGCCTCCATCCCAAGAAGACCCACCGGGAGTCACCATGGCTGTGAATCCTTGAAGGCCAGCAGATTAGCTCTGGGTGGCTTTTCCACCTGGTTGGTCCTCTCCTCCGTTCCCGAGTCTCACCTCCGTCGCCCATGGCACCGAGACCCTGCTGGTCCAGCAGACGAGGTGGCACCTGTTGCGGCCCACCGGCAGCTGACGGAACTGGCAGCAGAGTCGGACGGTAGTGAGGAGGTTGGGGAGGAACCAGGGCCAGTCTTGGAGGCTGAGGAAGGCTCTGCATCAGAGGGAGAGATGGGGCCAGGGCAGGCTGGCAGTCATCAGCTGCCTTCGGGCTCAGACAGCAGTGAGGAGGAGGAGCAGCTGGAGCCGGTTCCCAGCCTGTGCATGCACAGAGCTAGCAGAAGACAAGAACCATTGAGAAAGCAGGGTTGACTCAGGAGTAAGGCCACACCTTGGAGATGATTGGCCCCTCTCATAGGACATACAAGAGGAGCGAACGGGATGTGAGCTTTTGCAGGAAGCAATTATTTCGTCTGGTCGATTCAAGCTCTGAAAAGCTTCTGTTTGACTCGGTGTCAGGTTTGGCCTCGCTCTGCCTTTGGCCATTCGTTCTCTGGCCGCATTCCAAGTGCGATCAAGTGAGTAAACACCCCCCTGAATATGAAAGCCTTGCAGGCTGGGAATGAACACAATTCACAGCTGTGGGAAATAAAAGAGGTTTTGCCGGGAACTAAGATTGTGTTTTCCGCTTTCTAAGGAAGCCTAGATCGGAACAAAAGACAGGCGGTGTGTAGGACACGGTCCCCAAAAATCCAGATAGGGGCCACAATGAAGTTCCACGTGGGTTTTAGGTGCAAAGCAGGTCAAAGTTGCATTATCGGGTCGAAGCTGAAATCGCCCTCGAAGGGAATATTTGTAGCTCAAGGATGAACTCTGGGGTCCTTGGAGGGGTTTCCTTGCTTTCTTCTTAAGGAAGCCTCGGTCAGAACCAGCACCATCGGGTCAAGGCTGCAGAAGGTACCTCTCTTCGTTGCCCCTCTCGTCGGACTCGGAAGGCGGACTCTGGTCAGGGCAGGATGGAGTCCGGCAGGCCTTGCAAAGGATGACCACCAGGGCCAGGATGAGGAAGGCAATGACACAGTTGAAGGTGATGGCGATCACGGCCCCCGTGGAGAGGCCCATGCTGGGTCATGGGGCTCCAGGTGCGTCCTTTCCTGGTGGGTTTGGCGTGCCCACAAGGGAGGAGGCCTCCTTGGCGGCCAAACCTATCAAGCCATCCAGAAATGACGGGAAGGAGAGTTGGGGGAAAAGGGGCCTTGGAGGTCTTCTAGTCCAACCCCCTGTGCTTGAGCAGGCGGCCTTATGCCATTCCGGAACAAACGCCTGGCTGATCCTCTTCTTTAAAAAAAAAAAACCTTTAAAAAGGACGGCACGTGATCTCCCGGGACGTTGAGGTGGCTCGGAAGACGAGCAGGTTTGGGTCAGGAGGATGGGCTACGGAGTAGTTCTTCTGCCCTCGTTCAGCCCCAAGAGGTCCCTGGGCTCACCTGTGCAAGAAAAGAAAGGCTGAATTCGGGAAGGGTCGCCCATCCAACCTGGTTAGCTCAGTGTTTCCTTTGACCGCTTTAAGGGGTGTGGATTTCAACTCCCGGAATTCAATCATTCCAACTCCCATAAGCGGAGCTGGCTGGGGAATTCTGGGAGCTGAAATCCACACCCCCTTAAAGCGGCCAACCTTGAGAAACACTGCATTAGATACGGAAGTGATTCAAATCCCACCAGCTTTGGATCCGATAGCGTTCTCAGCTGGGTTAAATCAACCTCTTACCTACTCCATTCCGGCTTTCCAGGTCTGGCTTTGCGCTTTGCACTTTGCACATGCCCCTTGCACAATAGCACAACGTGGCCCTGAAGCCAAACTCATTTTGCACCCTCTACCTGTATGCTGAATCTCAGACACTCCAGTACAGGAAGAGACGCTGGGGTACAGGGGTTGACCGTGCAAAGTATAATAAGAGTCAACCACAATTGGA